TGGTGCTGATCAGCATCTGGAGGAAGAAGCAGAGCCCGGCGAGCCGGAGCCTTGTGGCGGTGGGGTGCTCAGGCATGTTGTGGGGCAAGTAAAGCCCCCGAAACCAGGGAGACACAAGGAGAGACACGCTGGGGCTGCAAACCCCGCCTGCCAGGTCCTGCCCTCGCCTCGGTGCTTCCCAAGGGCGGAAGAGCCGGCCGGGAGTGGGACGCTGCGGCCAACACGGAAATCCCAGGCTGGTCGCCCCGACACGCCTCAGCACCCCGTTTTACACAGCTCGGGCCGCTGTGCCGGGGAAGTGGGGCTTTAGGTGTCGCCATCCACCTTGGCTGGGCGCCAGGGAGTCGAGGTGGGATTTGGGGTGGCAGAGGATCCATGGCCGGGGAGGTTTCAGCCTTTCTGGAGGTTTGGCACGAGAGAGGTGGGAGGAGCTGGAACGGGAGGGTTTCCTTGGCTTTTCTTTGGCTGCTTTTGCCGAGGGGTGTTTGTAGCGCGCCGCGAGCGTGTACACATCCCAGAAAGGGAGAGGAAAAGAGCCGAGGGGTGAAACACAGCCTGTGTTTGGGAAGTGATTCAGGAAACTCCTTTCCACAGCGCCCGGCCAAATTATGATCTCAGATAAGCAGCGTCAGGCTGGGGTCATGCCCTGACGGGATGGGGAAGGGGAATGAGTCACTTTTGGAGGCCCCGGCGAGCGCCCTGCTGCGGGCTGTGGGACTGTGAGAGCCGAGGGGTGTAGCTGCCGCCTGTGCTGGGGGAAGAGGCAAGAGACTCGGCTCGTTCGTGGTACCACGGAGCTGGGAAACACCATCCTCCAGCCAAGGAGCCCTGAGCTGCTCTCCAGGGCACTGACGGGGGGGTCAGGATCTGCTTTTGCAGCCGTGGTCATGGGAAATGGGATAGAGGGGGATCATGGGTGATTTCTGAACAGCTCCAGACCCACAGAATAACCCTGGGGAGATGCAGGAGGGGAGTCTGCAGTGCTGCTGCGGGGGAATATCTGGGGGAGAGGCAAAACTCTGGCCACCTTTTGCTTTTTAAAATGAGCCAAAGCACTGACCGGTTTGGGCTGGGGGAGCCTCGGAGGCTTCCAGCCCAGCCTGCTGCTGTCAGTTAGGGCAGGTGATTGCATTCAGCAATAAGCAGCCCCGTTTGAACAGGGACTGGGAGCTGGGGGTGAGGAGCTGGGCAGCCAGCGTGTGCCCTGGCCCCACTTCCCCCTGGGAGGGGTTGGTCTCTGTGCTGTGTGCCACAGTGAGGCCAGGATTGTCCCTTTGTGCTGAGGACAGATGCTGCTTGTCTTGTGTTGCCTTCGAGAAGAGGTGGAGACCCTGGGAGATGGACCCTGGGGGAGGGAGAAGATAAGGCAGCCCAGAACACAGCCCCATTGTGTGTCCGTGTTTTGCTCCCGGCAGCATCCCGGTCCCAAGGTGACGATGGGGAAGCCCCCCAAAGGCTTCTCACAGGGCAGGATTAGGGGTGGGATGCCAGAGCCGTGGGAGCCTCCTGGAAGGATGATAGCAGCATCCCTGGGGAGTATATGCGGGGGTATAAATAAACCATTGCCCGGATGTCTGCGGGAGCAGCGAGCGCCGTCGGGCGCAGGGGGCCGATGCTGAGGGGAGGTTTTACCGGAGCCCTGGAGCCCTGTGCGGGGCTGGCATTTTCCCTGAAGTCCCCGACGCTGTGGCCTGCGGATAAAGGGATGTTTGTTAGCCGGGCACGCTGTGTTTTGCCGAGCAGAACAATAAAGAGAAAGATGCTCACAATGGGAAATTGTGCTTCCTCCTCCCCGTGCGTTCCTCCGGGAGGTGTTGGAGAGGGGGGAAGAGGAGAAAGCAGGAAAAGCCGGGAAGGGGCAGGGAGCAAGGGCACGGCCGGCGCTCACCGCTCA